TCCCCGGTTCTGCCAAAAAAAAAAAAAAATTTTTTTTTTGAGCTCAGTTTGGGCAACTTAGTGACTTAACAAGATCCTCTCCTTAAAAGAAAAGAAAAAGAATAGAGGTGGAATGGCAGCACTGACAAAGGTTCTACAATCTGAGGTACAGGATCTCAGGATAAATCCTGAGGGCATTTCACTGACCTTCTCAGACCAAAAAGCTACAACTCTTGTTGCACAGGTCCTGCTTTACCTTGATCTTAACCATCCAGCAGAAAAGTATGAAGACGAAATATAGGAAATAAAGCCATGTTGTTATGTTGAACTGTGGGGGACTCAGGTGAATAATTTCTGACATTGCCAGTTAAACAGAAGACCCAATGCTATTATGGGCTACTGGACTCTTTTAGAATATTTTGCTGAGTTTACACACCTGTAATATTCAATAACGGAACTTAGAACAAATGGGGTATACTGATGAATGTCCATTTTGTATCTGTGTATTCAAAGTGGTTAGGATAGATATATAGTTGCATTCTCTTAATGAATAGAATGATTTGTTTTAATGGTGTTTGTAAATAGGATCTCAAGTCCGCATCTTGTACAGCAATTAACCACTAAGAAGAATATATGCAGTGTATTATTTGTTGAAACTGTACTTCCAATTTGATTTGAAACTGTCTCATTGCTATCTGTTTATCAATAAAATTTTGGAAAAAAAAAAAAAAGAATAGAGGTGGAGACATCCCTAGTGCAAAAACTCTAAAGCTGTTTCCAGAAGAGGATGACTGTGGGGCAGGCAGAAGGAAAATACCTACCCTAGCCTTCCATCCTGATACCCAAGCATTTGGGGGTTTCGTGGCCTTATAATTCAGAGAACCTGACAAGAGTCTCCCTATGTATTTTTATTCAGTAAACTTACACAGAGAATGTGGTTGTTCATGCCCTTTCTCTCCCCTGGCTCTCTGCAGGGTACTACAGATCTTTTGGTAAAGCACACAGAACAACCTGTACCCGTCAGAAAAAATGTTTAAAAATAAGTATGATAAGTGTGACAGCAACAAGCAAGTGAGGTTGGGTACCAGACATCTATGGGCTACATCCTAGGAACTGAAGACAGACTGGTCAGCAAAGGCACAAGTGGCATCAGGCACCTGGGACAGAGGACGAGGTCTCTGCGGCCAAGCAAGCTGCCCTGAGAGGCACAAGAGCCCCAGGGTGAGCCCAAGGTGTCTGAATCACTTTTCTTCTCTTTGCAGGACAGTACCTCAGAGGATGTGGAGCCATTTTTGGAAAGTGTCAACACAGGGGCTGTTCGTGGCCATGTTCTGGCCCCTCATTCCTCAGTTTGTTTGCAATTGTTTGTTTTATTGGGCCCTGTACTTCAACCCAATTATTAACATTGATCTTGTAGTCAAGGAAGTTCGACGGCTGGAAACCCAAGTATTGTGACTGGCGCTGCCCCAGCTCCAAGAGACTCCTCTCAGACCTCCCAGAGCAGGGAGTGACCAAGTGGACTTCCTGTTTTCTATCCCAGTAAACAAGGTGCTGCTTTGTATGTCAAAGGCTTCAATCAGGTCCTCTCTCCTGCCATGGCTCTGCAGTGACAGACTGATAACCAGTACAAGGAGCACTCTCTGTTCAGCCCACAGCAGACGCACTTCCCACCCAGGCCCCTCTTCACAAGATCCTGGGAAGCTCAGGCCTGATGGCTGGCAGGACTCGGGGTCCTTGGATGACACAGTGTAGGTGACGTTCAGAGGCCTCACATCAGCAGGCCTTTCTGCTCTGCCCTCCGTAACTGACAGGCTCCAAGGGCCTAAGACCAGGATTGTTGGGGCTGGGCCTGTCCTGTATAAGTCAAGTTTAGGAAAACAGCGATTAAAATTTTGTCATAGGCCTAGATTGTTACACACAAAAGTATAGAGGAAAACCCAGAATTTGATTGTCAGTTCTCTCCTGTTGCGTAGTTGTTAGGCTTTGGAGTGAAGCTCACAAAGGATTCAGCTTGAGATGAGAATGATTGTGAACTCGTCCTCACTGTTTGCTGTTGTGCAATCACTGAAAGTTTAGAGGGATTGAGTGGGATGCCATGCAATTCGTGGGGTGTAATTCCTGTCAGACTAAGCCGCATCAGGCCACGTAAAAGCATTTTGGAGTGCTGTTGTTTTGTTTTCAAAAATTTAATTTGTAAAATAAATCTGAAAGTTTTTGTTCAAGGAAGCATTTTATAAATTGACCGCACACTGTATAATCTTTATTGCTCTGTCCTGCTGTATAAACACAGGTATAATTACACCCACCCATACTGTAATGATAAACAGCAGGATGAAGGACAGCTTTTCATTTCCACCTAGTGTGAAACAGCATTATGCAGTGTGATCTTGTCAAGATTGGCCTGCTAAGATAAGTCTGCCTCCAAAGTGTGTGACTCCATGAACCATTCATTAACACTTTGTATCTGTGTATGCAGATCTCACTCAAACTTTACATCTGGAAGTTTGAAGAAATTACTTGAAATAAAAATTTTTATACAAAACTTTTATAGAGGGGGAAAAACTGTTTGAAAAATACAAAAAAATAATCAGAGTTACCAGTTTTAATCTACTGGTCAGACTCAAGCTTCCAGCTCCATGTTGGTGTCAGGCCAGTGGACAACCCTGAGGGCTCTTCAGTAAAGAGGAGAATTCTTTATTCTCTGCTTATCAGGTTCTGGGGATGCCTCACTTTACGTGTGTTAAGACGGATGCCCTACCAGAGAAAATGTTCTTTGGACAGAGACACTTTGTGCACGCCTGGTCTCAGACCCTGTGCTGTTACTTAGATAGACTTTCCTGGCTGTCAGAGGTCACAGAGCTGGCACTGGCTACAAGCATGCACCTGGGCCTAGGGCCCACATGGCTAGACTCCTAGAGACACCAGAGTCCTTGCCCAGCCCTGTGGCCTCCCATCTTCCCCTCCTACTCCCACACCCAGCTTCAAAGATGAGTAATACCTAGGTGCTTCAGAAAGGACCATGAAGGAGACTTGGCTGCAGCTAGAGCACACAGGCGCACATGTGCTCATTCCTTACTGCCAGGAGGGCCTGGCATTCAGATGAGGCGCCAAGGTGCCTCACCTCCCTGATGCTCATACTGACAAAGGCGAACTTGAGGCGTCCAAAGGAGTGTCCATGCACACCATGACAGAGAACACTATTTCTCTAAATCCAGGCCAGGAAGCAAAAAGGTGTGTGTGTGTGTGGGGGGGATATTTATAAATGTCTTTATCATAACAACTGATAAAAACAGAAGTGTGTCCAATAAAGAAAAGTTGATCTATAAAATGTCAAAGCTAGGCATGTTAGTACGTGCCTATAGTCAAATTCAAGGTCAGCCTGTGAGACTACATAGTGAGACCCTATCTTAGAGAAACAAAATTCATGGCGTCACCTCAAAAACTACTCCATTGTGTTATTAAAAAGTAATAAGGACTGATGGCAACACACAGTGATGCCAGCAGTGATTATTCTGGATGGTGGGAACTTTTTTTTACCCCTGCGTTATGTTGTGTATTTCATTTTCTGTCTGTCTGTGTCTGTCTGTGTCTCTCAAGCCCAGGAAGCACAGGTGTTTTTTCTTTTCAAGAAGGAACCTTACTGTGTTGCCCAGGCTGGCCTCCAAGGGTCCTCAGTAGCTAGGACTATAGATGTGTGCCTTCCCAACCAGAATTTTTTTGTTTGAGACAGTGTCTTGCTATGTAACTCAGACTGGCCTTGAACTCACTATACAGCCCTGGCTGGCCTCAAACACCTGATCTTCCACCTCACCCCAAGTACAGGGATTATAGGTCTGTACCCAGCTAAGAATACTCTTCAGTGAATTAACACATTAGACTCGACCTTTACGAACATGGATGTTGTGTGACTGTCTTGTTTATTGCCACAACCTAGAATCTGCTACATGGCATTTGTTCACATTTGACCCAGCGGCCATCAGGAGCAGGTTAGAAGACAAAGCCCACCTTTTAATAAAGGTTGAACCTCAAACATGATACTAAGGCCAGGTACACGCACATGTATGAGAGCCTGTGTGGTTGTGGTGTATGCCTATAATCCCAGCACTGGGAAGGCTGAGGCAGGAGGATTATGGGTTTAAAACCAGTTCAGGGTACAAAGAGAGTTTAAGGTCAGCCTGGATAATATAATAAAATCCTGTCTCATTAAAAAAAAAATTGATCTAAGGTGTAGTGTTGCATGCCAGTAATCCAGCATTCTGGGAAGCTGAGACAGGATCACAGCATCCAGCTGGGCCGGGGAGATGGCTCAGTAGAATAAGCACTTCCCTGGCAAGTGCAAGGGCCTAAGTTCAATCCCCGGTTCCGCCAAAAACACACACAACATCCAGCTCACCTTTGGTGACTTAACAAGCTTCTATCTCAAAAAGGAGACAGGGACATTGCATGAAGGCGCTAGGTTTGGTCTCCAGTACCACAAATAAATGAAAATACTAAAATAATCTTGAGACCTTCTGAGACCAGAAATAGTGTGGGAGACATTCTGGCCTTGGATGGGCAAGCATGCCTTCTGGCTCTTGGAAACCACAAGACCATCCTCTCACTATTTCTTTCATATCTTGACATGAGCCTCAGAAATATGATCTCAGTTTAACCTCAACATCCTGACATGAGCCTAAAACGTGTGCTCCTGTCCTCATACCTTGAGTTCCCTCCTGAGTCCGAGGAGCATGCGCAGTAACAGCTTCATGGTACAGGAAAGGAATCCCACAGTGGGCATCATTAGCCCTGCAGCATTGGCGCCCCCTGTGGGCTGTGACAGCCATGCTGGGTATCCCCCAGCCCATGCAATACCACTAACCCCTTCTGATGGGAGAGTGGAGACCCACAGTTGATTGGAAAGAAGTCCAGTCAGTTTTGCCACCCTTGACTATACCCCAAATTCTATGAGATAAGAAGCCAGCCCTGGAACTCAGGTTGTCATTTCTGGCCCGCTCTCCCCTCCATTGTTGAGGGCAGACTCCTACTTGATGCTGCCATTTCTGGGTGCTGCTGGCTTGGACTCTCAAGTGTATTTTTTTTATTTAGGATTTTTTTTTTGTTTTTAATTTTTATTTTTTCCCTGCCCTCCAAATGTACTTTAACCTCAAACCTAAAGCCAGTTGAGACCACTCTGAGGCAAACTCACTTGAGCTTTCTCATCGACCTACTTGTGTTCCTTTAATAAATTTTGGCCTTTCTTACTGTTTCTGTGTGCCCTGCTCAATTCTTTGTTCAAGACACAAAGAACCTGGCTATCGGGTGAGACTGACACAACCATCTGTAGCACTGTGACCTTCATCCAACTGGAAGCCAGTTCCAGGACGGAGTGAAAAACCAAACTAGTCTTGCAGCTTGACCACTTGGCCTTAGTTGCCTCCTGCAAAAAACTGAATGCTGTTGTTCATCAGTGAAAAGGAGCTTTATTTCTTTGTGCAAATGAACATTTCTTGTCAGGCCAGTCAGTTACAAGAAGGAGACTCCTCCCCACATAAAAAGCGAGGGTAGAGAAAATACTTGAAGTTGTATTCAGCCTCGGAGAAGCAGTTAGCAATGTTCTTGTCACACTCACATAGGAGTTCTTGGCATTTGTTCTCTGCAGGTCCTAGAAGAAGTGAGGAAACAGGTTAGAGCAGGGACATGCAGAAAGTCCAGGGTAAATGTCAGAGAAGCCAGTCCAAAGCTGGAGGCCGGACAAGTCATGAATTGTATTTGTTACACTTGAGATCACCATGTGCTGTCCATCGACATGACCACAGGAGCTGTCAGCTTTAGGGAAAAGGAATGAAGGGACCAGGGTCTAAAGCACACAAACTTTTGATTTCTGTGTCAAGGTTATTGTTTCATTTAGATAAAAAGACAATAGGCTCAGGGCAGCCATCTGGGTTTGCAATGCCTGCTCTGCCACTATTGAGCTTTGTTATTGCCTTTGTCTGCTGGCTGTCTGTCTCTGTCTCTCTCTCTCTCTCTCTCTCTCTCTCTCTCTCTCTCTCTCTCTCTCTCTCTCTCCAGGTTGCCACCTAGTTCACGCTGGCCATGGACTTGCTATGCAGCCTAGGCTGCCCTCAATCTTATAGCAGTTTTCCTGCCTCAGCCTCCCAAGTACTAGGATTATAGGCATGTACTGCCATGCTGAGTTCACCTATCCTTTGTGAGGCTGAGTCCTCCCATAAAATGGGGACACTGCTGGGATGTGACTCAAAAGTAGACTTTGCCTAGTATTCTCCTGGCTGTGGCTTCATTGTCCGGCACTGAGGAACAAAAGTTAATAAACAAAAAGGAAGCATTCTTTACTTTGCCCGTTATTGAGCAGCCAGGGTGAGAAGATGATGGAATTCCCCCACAGAGGCTTAGCACAGGACACAGCCTCGGTCTGCGCCGGCCCCCACCTGTGTTTCTCAGCCCCCTTCAGGTCTCCTCTAGGTGCTCCTTTGAGAAAAGCAGAGTAGGGCTGGGGGTAGCTCAGTGGTAGAGCATTCTCCTAGCTCACATAAGGCCCTGGGGTCCAGCCCCAGCACTGCAAGCAAAGAATGGCAGCTTGTCTTAGTAAAAACTGTGTAGTAACAACTGGGTTCTCCTGCATGTGTGTCACAGACAAAGGGCTGCCACTTACAGATCAGTATCCTTTGGCTTGAAAATTCTAGTACTCCATAGAAAGCCTCATTTGTGTGGCTCAGATTCTGTAGTCTTCAGGTCATATATTTGTCAGTCAGTGGGCTCAGCAGCACCAAAAGGGGACAGAGTGGTAGGTGAGGGACTGACTCAGGCCATTCTGAGTGTCATCCCTCCCGGCCCTGTCATGAGCTGAGCTGGTTAAAGGAGTTAATCTGCATGGTTATACATAGGGCTTCCCAAACTTGGGCAGGGCAAAGGCAGCATCAAGACTACTAAAATCCCCCTCCTCTTCATTTGTTCATTCCTTCACTCATTTGTTTATTTATTTGCAGTGCTTTGGCTTGAACCCAGAATCTCACACCTGGAAGTCTGTGTTCTATCACTCAGCTGCCTTACTAGTCCCTCTCACTTATAATAGGTATTATTAAAGAAATAAATGACACTAAATAAAGCCTATCCCTGCCATAAGTGGAAAACCAAAGTCTTATACTATAAGAAACAAAAATATACTAAGCAGCAGGGTATGATACCTCATATCTATAATCCCCAGCACTCTGGGGAGGCTGAGGCAGGAGGATCACAAGTTTTAGTCCAAGCAGGACAATTTAGTGACTTGAACAGACTTTGTACCAAAATTTAAACATTTTTTAAAAAGCTAGAGATGTAGTTCAGGTCTTGAATTCTATCCCTTGCATCCCTTTACCCCCTCCCCCTCATGAAGTATAATTTCAATAACAAAAACAAGAGCCAGGGGGCTTGGGAGATAGCTCAGCAGCATAAGCACCTGCCTGGCAAGCACAAGGTCCTAAATTCAATCCCTGGTACCACATGCCATGCCGGCCCCAGATCTGGACATGGTGGCACATGCCTGTAATCCCAGCACTCAGGAAGCTGAGAGAGGAGGATCAGTATGAGTCCAAACTGCATAGTGAGACCCTGTATCATTAAAGGAAAAACAAAAACAGTCAGGCATAGTGATGTACACCTGTAATCTTGACACTTGGGAGGCTGAGGTATGAGGATCACTGTGAGTTTGAGAACAGCTTGAGCTACATAGTGAATTTACAGCTAGCCTGAACAACATGGTGAGACATGTCTCCAAAAACAATAACAATGAAGACCAATCCAGATAAAATTCTACAGAAATCACTTGGGAGGCTGACTCAGGATTGTTGTGAGTTCGAGACTAGCCTGGGTATAGAGTGAGCTGAACTGTAGAGTGAGATCCTGTCTCAAAAAGGCAACCAAAAAAAGAAAAAAAAAAAAAAAAAACCAACCAAACAGGAAGGAAGGAAGGAAAAGGAAAGGAAAGGAAAAGAAAGAAAGATCTAGTGAGATGCTCATGCCTCCTTGTAGGGTGTGAGCCTCCAAATCAGTGTCTTGATTTAAAAACAAGAGAAAGATGAGCAAGCAGAAGGGAGGTTAGCGCCTCCAATAGCATGTCACAGTGCATATACTTTCTCTTTCTCTTGTGAAAATTAACACAAGATTGAAAGCAAAGAATCTCACTTCACTTTTAAGCTTCTCCCACTCTTAAAGCACTAGAAGCTTGAGGCGCCAGCCTGGGCAGTTTAATGACTTAGCAAGAGCTTGTCTCAAAAATAATTTAAAAAATTACAAGAGGCTGGGGATAAAGCTTGGTGTAAAGAGCCTGAGTTCAATCTCTTGAACTGCAAAAACAAAAATTTTAAAAAGGAGCTGGGTATGGTGGTGCACCCTGTAATATCAGCACTTAGGAGGCAGAAGGGAGAAGACCATGAGGGTTTTTGGTTGGTTGGTTTGTTTTTTGTTTTTAACATGGTCTCACTATGCAGTTTAGACTCATAGTGATCCTCCTGTCTCAGCCTCCCCAGTGCTGGGATTACAGGTGTGTGTCACCACACCCCATTTCAGGGCCAGCATGGCATGGGGTACCGGGGATTGAACTCCAGTCCTTGCACTTGCCAGTTATCACCCCAGCCCCAAGATCATGAGTTTGAGGTCAGTCTGAGTTATATAGTGAGACTGTCTCAAAAACAAGAACAACAATAATTACTATTCCTGCTTTAAAAAAAATTAAGTCAAAATCCCTGTAATATAAAATTTACCACTTTGTCAGTACTGTTTAGTACATTTATAGTGCTATGCATTTATCTACTTCTAAGACATTTCTATCAATTCAAAAGAAATCCTGTACTTAGGAAACAGTCACTCCTCGCTGCCCTTGCTTGAGCCAGAGTCCCTGGCCGCCAACAGTCTGCCTGCCATCCACAGGGACCTGCCATCCACAGGCAAGTGGATTATAGGCTCCATCTCACAGTGGAGTCCTAAGACCTTTTGGCAGGCAGATGCTATGTTCCTGAGCTGTCTCCCCAGCCTTAAGAAGACCTTTTGGCCCTAGTGTTTTCAGGCTCAGCACCACATTCTTAAGCTTCATCCATGTGAGAGTAGGGCTATTTCACTTGCTTATTGACATAGTACTTAGAAAGTACTTGCACAGGCACTATTATCTCTCTCTCTCTCTCTCTCTCTCTCTCTCTCTCTCTCTCCACACACACACAGCCTCATACAAACTAGGTGAATGCTCTACCCACTGAGCAAAATCTAACATGGGACCCTAGTACAGGGTAAATTCCCAGTAATACTTGCTGAGTGAATTCACAAATGCCATGCTTTATTTCCAATACTCACTCAAACCCAATAACTGCATTTTATTATTCCCATTTTACAGATAAAAAAGCAAGGTTCAGAGTTCTCCAGTTACTTGGCCAAGTTCATTGAGTTGGAAAAGGGTGGACCGAAATCTTATCCAAGGATCTCCTTCAAGTTATTTAGAAGTATTGTAGGCTGAACCTATAAATATCATAGGCATGGCTGCGCCCTCAGAAGCCAGAGCAAAAGACAACTGTGGCTGGAGGTGCATTCCCTGAAGGTCAGGCTGTAGGATACAGCAAGGGCTACACCCACATACTTCCCCTAGGGATGAATGCAATAATTGATAGGCATCAGTCACCCTGGGTGGAGGACAGAAACATCTGTAGCTCATCCCTTCCAGCAAAGTCCTCCTAGGCCCACGTGCGCTGGCTATGTGACTTGCTTCCCCATGTGACCCCCACTTAACCAATACTTTTAGGCAACTATACTCATAGTCTTAGTGGTTGACCATAGTCTTGTCCTACCTTATACCTACCTTGTGATTTTCCATTGGCTCAATAGTATCTAAGTGGTTGTATTTGTAATCCTACCAGTTAACCTTAACTTTATCCCACCTTATACCCACCTCACCTCTTGGTTTTACTCCACAACTTGCCCCTGAGAAGTAGGCTCATGTGATCAATATCACCTAAGCAACTATACTCATACTCTTCTTTGTTGACCTTAGTTTTGTCCCACTTCACACCCGCCTTGTGATCCTTCACTGGATCAATGTTACCTAAGCAACTACAGTTTGGGAGTTACAATATTTCCCTTATATTATTTAGATTATTTGGAGGTCCAGTAGCACCCCTATACCACCCTGATCCTATTCTTCCTGAGCAAGAAAGAGTCTTTCAAAAGCATGACTTAGACTCCCTGATCCCTATTTTTAGGAATTCAAAGGAACCATGTTGTTCAAGAAAAATAAAAATCTAAAAGGAAAAATAGCTCCAGTGGGTTAAGCTTAAAATTAAAGACAGCTAGTAAATATGATTACAGGCTCAAATTTTTTAAAAAATTGTTTGTCAGGTCCATAAATGGAAAATGGGACAAACCTGTAATTAAATAAACAACCATGTTTAGAATATCTCCAAACAGAGTAAGAACATATTCTTAGCCCCAAAATGTCTAATAGATACCTTGGTTCATTGCATTTGCTTCAGGGAGGACAGTTCTGTAAACAGGTGCAGACTAAACCAGCAAACACCACCAACACTTCCTAAACATGACTTTCCCATGGGTGGGAGCAGTGGAACACACCAAGCGATGGGGAGGGGAAAGATCTCCAGTAGACCTCCCCACAAGGCCCATCCTACCTCCTCTTTGACATGCCAGAAACAGGCAGTCTGGGGACAGTCACTCCCTCTCCCCAGGCCTCAGTTTCCCTGGCTCTAAATGAGACAGTTGGATAAGATGATGCCTCGGGCATCCTCTTATGCCAGCTCCTCATTGTAAAATCACCCTCACCTTCCCTACTCCAGGACAGGCCCAGTCTTCAGAAGCTGCGGTTTAGTGGACACTTACACAGTAAGTAGACAGAAGGAGTAGGAAAGGAAGGGAATACCCACCTCCAGTCTATCTAGGACTAAATGATGTTAAATAAAGTTACCAAGACTACCCAAAGGAGATAGAAGAGACTATTCAGCAAAGGATGCTGGGACAACTGTCTATTCACAAAGAATAAAATTAGCCCCCTTCATTTCATTTATAAAAATTAAATCAAAGTGGGCCAATAATTGGGGTATTGTGCTGTACACTTGTAATCCCAGCAGTGTGGGAGGCTGAGGCAGGAGGGTTGCAAGTTCAAGTCCAGCCTGTGTAATTTTGTGAAACTTTATCTCAAAATAAATAATTTTAAAAGGGCTGGGAGCCGCTTATGGTAGCACATACTTATAATCTCAGCACCTTGAGAAACTGAGGCAGGAGAATCACAGGTTCAAGCCCAGCTTAGGCAATTTAGCAATTTAACATGACTCTGTCTAAATCTAAGAGTTAAAACTATTAGGATAAAACATAGAAGTAACTCTCGGATTTGGCTATGGATTTTTAGACGAAAAATCAAAAATAAGAGCAATGATAGATAAAATAGATAAATTAGTTTTTAAAAATTTTTAAAAAGCACATCAAGATTGTTTATGAAAACAATCTATGGAATGGGAGAAAACATTTGCAAATCACAGATCTGACACAAATTCAGAATTCAGGGTATGAAAAACTTACAATCCACCACAAAACAATACAATAAAGATGGGCAAAGCACCTGAACAGATGTTTCTTCAAAGAAGACATAAAAATGGTGAAGAAGCATGTAAACACACTCAACATCCCAGTCATTAGAGCACAGCAGCCACTCTGGTGGCTGAGCCAGGAGGATAGCACTTCAAGGCCGCCCAGGCCTACATGTGAAAACTTGTCTCAAAACAAAATTAAAAGGACTGGGAGGGTAACTCAATGACAGAGCCCTTCTTCAGCATGTGCAAGGACCAGGGTTCGATCCCTAGCAATGCAAAAAGAAAAGGAAAGAAGGAAGAGAGGGAGGGAGGCAGGACAGAAAGGAATGTAAAATGATCTCTGTACTGTGAAAAACAGCTTTGTGCTTCCTCAAACAAGAGCCTGTAACCAAGCATGCCCACTGGTGGGTGTAGACACCAACTAACTGAAAATAGGTACTCTAATGTTTTTATGAATGTTCTTGCCACCTGTAGGCATAGTAGTGCACAAAAGGTGAAAACAATTCAATTATCCATCTTCACATGAATGAATAAGCGAAACGTGCCCAATCCAAACAATGGAATGAAAATTGCTCATAAAAGGAATGAAGCTGAGCATGCTGGTACATGCCTATAGTTCCAACTCCTTGAGAGGCTGAGGCAGGAACACCTCAAGTTTGGGGCTGGTCTGTGCAATTTAGAAACACTTTGCTTCAAAAATGAAAAAGGAAGGGGGCCGGGGAGATGGCTCAGTAGAATAAGCGCTTGACTGGCAAACGCAAGGATCTGAGTTCAATTCCTGGTTCCGCAAAAAAAAAGAAAAAAAAGAAAAAGGGAGCTAGGGAGATGGCTCAGTAGAATAAGTGATTGCCTGGCAAGTGTAAGGGCCTGAATTCAATCCTCAGTTCCTGCTTAACGAAGCAACAATACACGGTACAGAACAGATGAAGTTAAAAAACACGAAGCTAAGCAGAAGAAAGCAGACATAGAAGACCACATAGCGTATGATTCTACTTACATGAAATCTCTAGATTTAGTAAATTCAGAAAGAAAAACCTCATGTGTAAAGTTGCAGGCTGCTGGTGGGAGGGAGGAATAGGGGAACGGGAACGGGGCAGGAGAAGCCGCACACTAAAGGCACCCTGCCTCAGGTAAATTTAAAAGCAGGGATATAATTTTCCCCGAAAAGCACTGGGATATAGTTTGCAGTTTCAGCTGTACTATTATCCCAGCATTCAGGAGGCTGAGTCTGGAGGATCCCTACAAGTTTGAGGACAGCCTGGGTTACACAGTGCATTCAAGGCCAGACTAAACTAGCTTTGAGACCTTCTCTCAAAACAAACCAACAAACAAACTCCTCTTCTTACTGCTTTATATAAAAACCAGTAAAGTTGCTATGGGGGACGCAACATATTTTAACTGCAGTCTGTTTCATTTTAACTTTAGAAGTAGTTGGTTATGTACAATGTACACTATAGTGTTAGATGTATTGTCGGGCAATCATCTTCAATATATACATATTTCTTGCAGTCTAAGATGAATAGTAAATAGACAGATACACAGGTTTTTCTTCTTTTCTTTTCTTTTCTTTCTTTCTTTCTTTCTTTCTTTCTTTCTTTCTTTCTTTCTTTCTTTCTTTCTTTCTTTTTTGTGGAACCGGGGATTGAACTCAGACCCTTGAGCTTGCCAGGGAAGCGCTTATTTCTACTGAGCCATCTCCCCGGCCCTCTCCTTTTCTTTTTTAAAAATGGAATCCCACACTTTATTTCTGCTCTTCCCAAGACTCCAAAGAGGCTTTAATTTGTTACCTACAACTATAATCTTTATTTTCTTTAAATTAATTTTTATTAGTACTTTTTTTAGGCAGAATTAGATGCAGGTGCAGATCCCTTCCTGGATAAGACTAAGAACTAGAGCATCTCTGTTTTAAAAGGAATCAAAGCTGGGGCTGTCACTCAGTGGTGGAGCTCGTTGCTAGCATGGGTGAGGTCCTGGGTTCCATCCCCAGAGCCACAGACAAATCATTAATTAAAATAAATAGAAGTCAGTCAATATTAGAAATCTGTGAAAGCTGAAGGAGCATGGAACTGAGACTTTTTCTCCACACAGTTAGAAGGATTGAAAGAGGAATAACCTCTTCTGCTCGGGGGTCCGGGTCGGTTAGAGCTACCCTCACCACTCCCCTGAATCCTGAACATCGTGGAGTGTCCCTGTGCCGCCCCCCCCCCCCCCGAGGTCTGTGCTGGGTCTACCACTGCAGGCCATGCAGTGCATGAAGCACCACCTCGTGGTCCTGTCCTCCTCACAGCACAAAGACTTGATTTCTGAGCTCAACTTATTAATGAAAAAACTGAGGCTTAGAGAGGTGGGGACAGGCTACATTCACACAGCTAGAAATGAACTATGGCAGGATCGGAATCACTGAGTCATTGAGAGGCAGGCCAGGGTTTGCCAACTCAGGAGTCCCTGGGGCAGGCAGCCTTTTTTTTTTTTTTTTTTTTTTGGTGGAACTGGGGATTGAACTCAGGCCCTTGCGCTTGCCAGGGAAGCGCTTATTCCACTGAGCCATCTCCCCAGCCCCAAGGCAGCCTTCACGAAGGACATAAAACACAGCCTGAAGCTCAACTTGCAATATGATCATCCTACTTTTAATAAAGGAGGGCAGAGTGGTTAGGGAAGGGGAAGGGATTTCCTGGGGTCTAAGCTGGTAAGTGGTGGGGAAGCCCCCGTGAGTCTCCCCTGGCTCAGGCCTAGGAAGGAAGACCAGTGAAATGAACACTCAGGGCTTGGGCTCCATCCGAGTTTCTTTTCCACCCCAAGCACACTAGGCTAGGACCCAGCGAGGACTCCAGACCTCCCAGCACAGAGTATCTGGGTTAGTGCCTCAGAGCCACAGCCCAGGGGGGCCCTCACACCGTGCCAAGGTCGTCCACCCAGCCAAACATGGTGTATTTCATTTTATTTGGAAACATTGCAAGGTAAGTGATAGGATCAGTGCTCTTCACCCTTAAAAGCTTCATGCTGTGTTTTCTTTTCCTAACATTTAACTTGCAAATAATTCGTGAAGATATTTTCTTTGTAAAACAGAAACATATAGAGGTCACAAAACTGCTTCTACCACTGCTTCCCTCAGCTGCTTTTGTCCCTAGCAACACTTAGGAACATCCTCAGTTCAGAGCGTATCCTTACACAGCCTTTCTGAGCTTTGTCTTCTTTTTCTTTATTTACTGAGGCAGTCTTGTTATGTAGTTGAGGCTGGCTTTGCGCTCGCTATGTATCCCAGACTGGCCTCAGACTGGGAATGCCTCAACCTCCTGCCTCAGCCTCCTGAGCACTGGGATCACAGGCTTGTACCACCATACCTGGCTTTTTATGTTAATATTAGCTACAGAAAGTAGTCCGGTACCATTTTGCAACTTTCTGTTATTTGTTAAATACAAATAATGCTGTATGGAAGAGTAATTCTGCAGTTTATGTGTTGTTTTGCAGTGCTGGGGACTGAACTCAGGGCTTTGTGCATTCTAGCAAGTATTCTACCTCTCAGACCTACATCCTCAGCCCTTAGTTTTAAAATTATTTACCTCGACAGGGTCCCATTAAATTGCCCTCTAGCCTCAAACTTTCTGCCTCAGCCTCCGAAAGAGCTGGAATTGTGGTGTGAGTCTCTGCATCAGGTGCAGTTTGTTCATACACATCTTTCTTTCCATGTGAGCACTCTTTGCCAGGCATGTAGGATATTCCATAGCATGGTTAGATCATGGGTTTATTTCCCAGACCCCTGGTGATGGGCTTTTAGGCTGTTTATACATGGAGTCATGTATAAACTATTTTATCCAGTCCCCAAAGAAATGTTTTGGAGTGTGTGTGTGTGTGTGTGTGTGTGTGTGTGTGTGTGTGTGTGTTTCAAGTGTGTGAATGATCATTAAGATAAATCCAAAGGGTGTTCCCTGCCATGTTATTACAGTAAGGGCACCGGTGTCATCAGGCTTTCCCAGGACATTCCTGGCCCCCTGGGGTTGACATACATGCAGTACTGGGGACTCACCACACTGGACCTGGTTATCAACACACTCCCAGGAGTAGCGGTCCATCTTGGGGCTGCAGCCAGCTTCCTCAGCACGAGTGTAGCAGCAGTCATGGTAGTGGCAGCACCTGTGGGTGTCATATGGGCAGGTGGGTCACTCTCCTGGCTGTCCTCCCTTGCTGGAATGATGGGGGAGGAAAGACCTCCCAGGAGCTTATGTCCTCTGCTTAAAGTTTTGTCCTTGAAATCCCAACCTTTGTGCCTATGTGCCCTGCACAGCCCCCATCTCAGGCCATGCAGGAGGTGGTCTGCCACTGCCTGCCTCACTCCGAGGCTCTGAGTTCCAGCTACCAGGCCTCTTCTGTTCCTGGAATGAGTCATGAGCCTTTGATTCTGTCCATGTGGGACTCTCTGCCTGGGACAACTGAGATGGGTCCCCATCCCCATCTGGGGATGTCTTCCAGGCCTTCCCAGCCTGCAACAGTCTCATTGTTACACCAGCTCCTGAAACAGGATCTCCCCACGGGCATCTCACAATAAGGCCTCAATAAACCTTTACTGTTCAACAGCTCCCTAAAGAGCACTCAGGGGCTGGAGAGATGGCTCAATGGTCTAAAGCACCTGCTTGGAACAAGCTTGGCAAAGCACAGGGACCACGGTTTGATCCCCCAGCACCACATGCCGGCCAGCCACGCCCCCTGGTGGGCTGAGCTGGCCACACACACACACACACACACACACTAAATAAATGTTAAAAAAAAGAGCACTCATACCTGTTATTCTTCATTCATTCATTCATTCATTCATTCATTCATTCATTCCTTGAGATTCTCCCCATCTGCCACCAGCCCCACTCCCCTGAACCCTCAACAGAGTGTGTCAGAGTGGCCAGTCAGCTGTTGCCCCAATTTCAGGAAGCCCCCAGCCTGGGAAAGAGACAGGCAGGCCACCAGACACATGTGTGGTGAGAAGTGCTGGGATGCAGGGGACACTGGGAGCCCACAGGAGGTGGCAGACCCAAGGAGGCTTTAGGAAAGACTGCGGAAGTGCATGGGTGGTAGTGAGTCCTCCCAAGGCTAAGGGGAAAGTCATGCCTCTTGGGGACAATCACATCTGAGATAGTCATGAGGAGGCCACATAGTTCTGTAGGAAATCATAAACAAACAAATTCCTGCGACCTTTTACTCATCAAGAGTATGATTTGTATTTTCTCCTAAGGCAGTTAATGACTTAAAAGTGACTCATTAAAAACCATGACTCTTCAGTTGAGCCTACAGATGCCCAAAAGGTATCTCACAGTAGAACAAAGCTCGATTTTCCTTTTGTAAAACTCTGGGTTTCTTAGCTCTAAATTTACATATGCAATCTCATCCCCCTGAAGGACTGAGAGACTTAGAGGGATGTCCAGATCTCTACTGCCCAACATCTGCGGTCATTTTAGAGCATCCCAAGACTGGAACTGCCCCACAAGTCACAAAGACTCAAGCTGAGCTATGGTACCAGGACTGAGACTGCGGCTTCCCCGACACCAGACCACAGCAGCCACCCCATAAAACTGGCTTCTCAGATCCAGGGACGTCCTCCTCTAGCTATAACCCAGCCTGGAGCTCTCTCCTCATCTTTTAACCTTTCAGTTAAGACTCTTTTCCTGCAAATTTGTGCTTTATTTATTTTTTTTATTTGCACTATCACTCAAGGCAGAGGTTGTACATGTGAGTCCAGCCAGGTCACATGGGTTCAAATCCCAGCTCCCATACCTTGCACTCTGTGCAGCCCCAGACAAGAAACTTAATAGCTCTGAGCCTCAGTCTCCCTGTCTATGAAATAGAGTTGTTGTGCAGGGATCCTCAGAGCAGTTCTATGCAAGTCTTGTTATCTTTATATTATTTTTCAGGTGGCATAAAACCCCATGGCCAGGTCAGAGGCAGCTGGGGCCAGATGTGTCTGAGCGTGTGGTAGTGCTCTCCCAGAGTTCACTGCACTCTGAGGGGACTAAGGCAGGAGCCACACAAGTTGAAGTTCAGCCTGGGCAATTGAATGACTTGCAGAGACCCTGCTTCAAAATGACAAATAAAAATGGGCTGGAGATGTAGCTCAGTAAGAAGGCCTTGAGTTTAAAAAAAAGAAAAGATATTTCTAAGATAGAAACTACCATTATAGGACAGTGTACCAACAACTCTTAGGCCCTTAATCTATTACTCATTAAAATATGATTTGTGTTCTCTTCTGAGGCAGTCAGAGACTTAAAAGCTGCTTTTGCTAAAAACAAAACAAATAAATACAACAAAACTAAAAAGCATGACTCAGTTGGGCCAACAGGTGTCCAGGGGTAACTAAAAGCAGAACAAAGTTTGACCTTTATTTGTATGTCTCTCCCCATTCTTTTTATTAAGTTAATTGGTACGATTTAGACATACATAAAGCTCATATTCATCACAGGGAATTTGTTCCTGTATATGGTATATTTTGATGTCACTTTTTTCTTGTATGTCTCTTATAACTTTAAAATTTGGTCCAGATCCCTCCTCAATCCTGCTGATAGGCATGTTAATCATTTAGGGAGTGTCTGTCTGAAAACTGGTAATACAAGGTTGATTAGCCCTAAATTTACATAGCGTATCTCATCTCTCTTCAAGACTGAGGACATCAAGATAATAGGTTTACACAGGGATAGTGAGCTACTGATGGGCCCCCAGAGGGCCTCATTCATTGCCCTAAACCCATGTCACCTTGGATCCCAGCAGAGCCTCCATAAACTGAGACTTCTCCAAGAAGAAACAGCTACCTCATGGTCCCCTCAAGCAACAAGGACTTCTTGAGCGCCATTGTGCAAAACCAGAACTGAGAGAACGATCAAGCCGACCTTTGCCTACCTCAGCCCCTCTGAAAGAATAGGTCTTGTTGCTTTGCTAATTTGGCTCAAGTGAAGACTCCTCTCCTTGTTTAACTTCTTTCTAACCCTGCCGAATAAATCAGCCTATGCCACTCACTGACATGAAATGCTTTTCTGCTGCAGTGTTAAGAACCTCCCTAGGTTGGATCTCCCTAGGGAGGTCCTTGGCTTCTTGGTCACAAAACCCAGGAGGCCCTCTGCCTGCAGAATGATTCCATAGCATGCTAGGATCTTTCTGGGACAAAGCCTGACTTCAGTTTTGTATGTTTTCTTAGAGTCTCTAACTATTTCAGGGGTTGAGTGGGGCTTCTAGTGTGCGCCCAAGTACATACTTACCAGTCAATGGCATCCTGGGGCTTGCCGTGGCCACCCAGGCCACAAAAACAGCCATATTTAGCATAGAAAATGGGATGTCGGGGTCCAACACAAGACACGGTACTTGCCAGTTCCAATATCCCACGCCGGTACACATGTGACCTTCTGGATGCTGGAGGGTAAACAAAGGTTAGGTCAGGACTCCCCTGGTCCTAGGGAAGGGCACAGGCCTGAGATGGGGCAGGTACTGCAGCCTGGTTGGGTTCAAATCCCACTTCCTAACTGTGTGATGTGGGACAAATTATGAACTTCTTTGTGCCTCAGTTTCCTGATCTGTGAAATGGAGGATAAGGTGACCTAACTCACAGATCAAAGGAGATAGTGCGCACAAAGCTTCTGGCATATAATAAGTCCTAACTGTCATGACTGTTGATCCTCCAGGAAGGGAAAATGAGCCAAAGATCACATAGCATGAGCGATCACACCACCGGGCCTTTGCACGGGCCACTCCTTCTAGTGGAATGCCCTGCTTTCCAACCCTTCCCTGCAAGTCTAGACATACTCACACGGCCAATCACGCACCAAGTGTTTGTGCTGCCTGTGCTGGGTACTTGGGCATCAGAGTTAAACAGTATTTTTCTGTCATCAACGTAGGTGCCTCTGGGGACTTCCCAGTCCCTGGGCCCCATCCCTCTCCCTGCCTCAGAGCCTGTGCCCAAGAACAGCTTCCCTTCAGTCAGGGAGGGCCCCAGCCTAGGTCTAACATCTCTTTGGTTCTTGGCACAGCATAGACACATAGCGGTACCCCATAGTTAGGACTGGGACTCTTGCAGCTGACAGATGAGAAGGAAGAGGCTCCCACAGCCCACAAGTACCTGAGCTGAGGTGTCAACCCAGGCTCTGATTCATAAACCAGTGCTCCTTTCTTCTTCCCTGCTCAGTAATGGCAGGGAAGGAAGAGGCCTGATGGGTACCAGAGCGGACAGACACAGTAGCAGACAGAGATGCATGCCAGAAGTAGGCTGCCCACTGTCCAGGGACTGAGGGCAGTAGAGGTTTGTGCCTGGCATTGGCCAACATGGCTTTTCATAACCTCTCCCCCACCTATTTTTGAGGCACGGGGGGGGTTGAAGCCAAGGCCTTTGCACTGAGTTACACCCCCAGCCCCTTTTTAAAATTTTGTGACATGGCCTTATTAAGTCATTAAATTGCCCAGGTTGTGTCCAAGCCTGTGATTTTCCTGCCTCAGTGTTCCAGAATGCTAGGATTTATAGGTGAGCATCACCGTGACTGGCTCTTTCATCTCTTATTTGAACAGTTCTTTTTTTAAGGAAGCTGGACTAAATGTAAATCCAATTGTTTTTTTTTTTTCCCAGTGGAAAAAAGTAGCTTATATGTGTGTGTGGGTAGAAATGTTTCAAGAGAAAATGTAAAGAAGAAGTTAGGAGTTCCAAATGTCATCTTCCTCTCTGAGTGACTGGTCCTCACTCTCCCAGAAGCCCACATATCTGCCTCAAACCTTGCATAGCTCTCATGAGCTATGGACACTGCTCAGAGGCCCTGCTGCACCCCAAGGCACAGGGAGGGGTCACTGCTACCTCTCCAACCTCCGTGCTCCTGCAGCAGGAATCGTGCACCGTCCTCATAGTTATACCACTGAGCCCTCCGACTTGGGCAGTTCTGGTGCACCTCCTAAGGTCTGTGACCTCTGGGTCCACTGTTGTGGCACACACTCACCTAGGCACACTGCATGAGGCCCCTGTCCCAACACCATCCCTGATACTCTCTGCCTGCTGTCACCCCTACCCCTGACCCAAGCACTCTATCTCAGGGCCTAGGAATAACCAGGCTTTGTGGCCCCAGCACAGAGTGAACACCCATGTTGGGTTTGGAACCAAAGAAAACACTCCCTTTGTGCCAACATAGGCGGGTGGGTCAGGCTGGGTCTGTTTGCTGTCTGTCCTCGGACAGCCTCACAAGCAGACAACCTCTTCTGGAAGTGCTGGGGCTGGTGGGCACCCACTGGCTCCTGGGCTGCATGCATGTGTACATGTACACTTCTGTGCCTGTGTGTGTCTCAGCTTGCCTTGGGGCTGTCCCAAGTGTCCCCTGGTTGTATACACATGTGCTCCCCTGGATGTACCTTTGCTGATCTGCAGCATGGATCCTTGTACAGCCACCTGAGTGGCAGGGAAGGCTGGTCCTGGTCCTGTGCCTGGGTGTCTCTGTGCTTGAGGTGTCCGTATATTGGCTGACTATATTTGTGCTTCCTAGGAATGGGCAGTCACAGGGCACCTCTCTGTGAGAGGGGTCAGGAGAATATGTTATTTGCTCAGTTGCTTCTGTCTCTGCTTCTCCAAAACCCTGGAGTCGGGGCTGGTGAGATGGC